TATTTTCTCCTAGTATTAGAAACTTTAAAAAGTGTATTTCCATTTTCCATTGACTTTATATTCCTTTTTCCCTATCTTTTATACACACATGCACACACACATATATATGAAAAAATATGTGCATAACCCAACATAAGATTGATACTGTTTCATAGAATTCTTTAATGACCTTTTAAATGGGTTCATCTAATATATTTAGCATAGTCCTGCATAACTATCATTTTGAGAGCTCTTTATTCTTCATCCAGGAGCATACAGCAACTTCTCTTGCCTTCTGAATTATGCTCTTTGTTATTTCCTATACTACGTCTGAAGGTATTAGAATATTTAGAGTTTGTACAACTGGAAAATATTTTAGTTTTCAAAGATATGTTTGCTAAGTATAAATTTCAAAAAGGACAGATCTAATTTTTTTTCGTTCTTTCAGTTCTTTAATTAGTCTAGTTTCTTATACACTTGGTCTTTTTTTTTCTTTCTAATGCGGAATAAGATGCTATTTAACTTTGTTCTTCCATAGTTAATTTTTTTAGGTATATACTTTAATGTTTTTTTCTTTACAATAAGTTTTGGACAATTTCATTTTTTTGTATCTGGGTATGATTTTATTCTAATTTCTTTGCAAAAGGTTCATTTTTTTGGAAATGTGGTATTATACGTTCAACTAAATTCAGAAATTTTAAATCTTTAAATATTGCCTACTTTACTTTGAGAATTCTAATTATATAAATATAAGTTTCTTGATTTTGACACAGAGTGAACTACTATATGACTGACCTGTAAATTCTTCTTCATTTTTAATTTGGACAGTTTATATTTTTATATTCATTTAAGTTTGTAAATAATTTATTTACAATGTGCAATCTATTATTAATCTTATGCGATGTATTCATTGCAGAAATATTACTCTGAGAAATCACTCTATCCATATCTTATATCTTTCACATTTCAGTATTTGTCTACAATTTTTAATATCATATGTAATTAGTGATTTTCAATAAAGTTAATGAAAAAAAAAGAAATAAAATAGGGCCAGCAAGATAGCTCAATGGACAAAGCACCTGCTTTAGCAGGGGCAAGGACCAGGGTTCGATCCAAAAATAAAAAAATAAAAATAAACTAATAACAAATGCTGGAGAGACTATGGAGAAGATGGAATCCTTCTCCACTGTTTGTGGAAATGTGGACTGGTACAGCCACTGTGGAAATCAGTGTGGTGACCCCTCAAAAACCTAAGACTGAAAGTTTTGTTCAACCTAGCTCTTCCTCTTCTGGATATTTTTCTAAAAGAACTGAAAACATCATACCATAGTGATGTGCACGCACCCATGTTTATAGCAGCACAATTTGGCATAGTCAAATCTTGGAAACAATCAAAATGACCATCACCTGAGGGATAGATGCAAAATATGTAGTATTTTTTACAATGGAGTATTATTCAGCTGTAAAGAATGACAAACATGAGACCTTTATAGGTAAGTGAATGCAAATAGAAACTATATTCATAAGTGAAATAAATCAGAACCACATGTGCAAATATCATGTTGCCTCACTAGTGCAAGAACCTGAAAGAATAAATGAAACCTCAAAGATATAATAGATATAGTAAAAAAGAAAGAAACTGAACATAAGGACTGAACAATGAAGAT